TACTCACACTTGCATTGCAGCGGGGCATCTCCTCTTCATCACTTTAGCAAACAGCTCATACATTTGTACCTAATCTCTCTCTCTCTCTCTCTCTCTCTCTCACACACACACACTAACTACTACATGCATCGTACCACGTTCATGTCACTGTGACGTGAATGTAATTGGATTTTTGGAAGTTGGCCGGAAAAGAAGAAGAAGAACTGGACCTCAGACTTTGACACGTGTCACTTTTTCAGAAAGGACATGAATCTCAAATCTACGTAATAACTGATAATGAAAGTGATCAGCACTGCAGCTCCACCTCACACACACATGCATCATCACACAGCTGGATTCAACAATAATACGAGATGCTATCATACATTATAACAAGTATCTGCTCCACATGCAAACACACATCAAACCTGAACTTCATCATTTCTTTTAAAACGTCTCTTCTTCTTCTTCTCTCTGTTCTTCTCTTACTGTTCATACATCACGTTATTCTCCATCAGTTAAAAGTGTGTGAAGTCTTACCTGTCCGCTCTCAGCGTCTCTTTTCTCTGAGTTGAGTGTGTCCGTCTCTCTGCTCTCTTCTCTCTCTCTTCTCACTGACTTTTGTGTGTGTGTGTGTGTGTCTTCCAGGCGATGTTTGACTTTCGCGGCAATGGCAAGGCGGAGTTGAGCCTGAAGAGGGGAGAGGTGATCTTCCTGCTGCGACGAGTCAACGCCGACTGGCTGGAGGTAAGAACGGAGAGAGAGGGAGCGAGAGTGGGAGAGGGAGGAGAGAAAGAAAGAGAGAGAGGGGGAGGGAGAGTAAGAGTAGGAGAGTGGAAGGCAGTGAAAGATGGATGGAGAGTGAGAGGGAGGGATGGGAGAGATATTGAAGAGGTGGCGGGGGAGAGGACGCACAAGTGTAAAAATGGAAAGAGAGGGAGAGAGGGAGGCATCTTGATCAGGACGGTGGAGGGAAGGAAAGAGATTAAAGAGTGGAGGAGGGAAGAGGAAAGTGATGGAGGAAAAGATAAGCACATGTTTGGGATGAAGAGAGCAAGGAAGAGAGGGGAAAAAAGGGGAGATGGAGAAGGATGAGAGGATGAGATGGAAGGAAATAAGAATGAATAGAAACAAAATGAAAAGCATTTGTGTGACTGCGATCTTGTCGTCGCTCCACGTTTGGGAACTGCAGCACATCGCACAGCACCAAAATCATGACAATGTGCAGCGGTCGCCTCATCGGGTTCATGGTTCGAATCCTGGTTCGGCCCTTTCTGTGTGGTGTTGTGTTCTCCTCTGGGTTTTCTCTCTGACTTCCTCCCACAGTGCAGAGACCTGCAGGTTGGGTTAATTGGAGACTCTAGTTGAACCGTAGGTGTGAATAGTTGTTGGTTTATGTGAAGACTCTTTTCCATCGGTCGAAAAAAAACCTGCAAACATCTGTCTCCTGTCTTTAATGAGAATATAAAACAATCACATTTACTCTGAGGTCTAATAACTCCAGCCCCCAGTGGCAGTGATGGAGTCATGACACCCCGGGGGAACTCGATTATCCCTTTTCTTCATCTTTCCACTGGATCTTTTCAGACACAACATTATAACACACTTCGGGCGTTGTGTACATTCTGTTTTTTATATCTTAACAACAGCGTAACCTTTTCTTTGTGTCAATCAAAACTTGAAGAGACGAGACAGCGACGTGAGAGAGCTCAGTTTCTGTCGCATGTGGGACATCGAACATGACTTACCGGAAGCAGAAAAAGAGGAAACTGCACAACGGGGAACGGAGTCGGTCGCCTGTGTATACTCGTTAATTTTGTCGTAAATGATATCTGCTCCTTTATTCCTTCCTTTTGCGTTTACCTACGCATGAAGAATATCGTTTCCTACATTTTAATGACAAAGATTACAAATTGTGTCATCTCCACATAGCAACAGAGCAGAACAGTCACTGGTGTGATCGGAGGTGTCCTGCTCCACTTTCCTTTACAGGAACAATTACTTAATGAACAAAATGACCTGATTCCACACTGCAAGTGTCACGTGGAAGTCGCTGCCGTACCAAAAAAGGGATGTGGGACATTTTTAATTAGCTTCTCAACATGGAAATTCAATGCCGAGAAACATTTGTCGTAGAAAACCTGCCTTGTCACGTGGTACGCAAAGAAGAAGGTCAGGAAACGTGTTTAATGAAAATGCGTGAGGTGTTGAGATGGAGTGATGAGATGAGAAGCCGGGAGTGGGTGAGTGGGAGAGAGAGAAAGAGAGAGAGACGAGGTGGAAGCTGTGGTGGGAGCGAGGGAGCGAGTGGAGGAGGAGGATGCACTTATCCTGCCCCTGGCTTTCTCGATACGGATCCTAGAAATCATCACGGAGAAGAAGAATGATAATCTGTTTATTCTTATGCAACGCTGCAAACACTCTCGTTGGTCAGTTTTGGAAACTTTGCATCCACCCTAGTGTTTTTTTTTTTTTGTGTTTTACGGTGGGCGAGGTTAATGCAACACTTACAACTCGTGAAAAGTTGACTGAGTGCATTTGATTTAGTCAGTAGAGGGAGAGGCTGTGGGTGGAGAGCGTGACAAATCCAACGGGCAGACTGGTGCATCAAGGTAAATGTTTCCAACGCACCAAAGTAGAGAGATCTCATCAGTTTCAGGATTCCCAGAGAAAATGAGAAACTTCTCCGTGCAGGAGAAGCTGCAAAGTTTCCAGTGAGAAGCAGACGTCATCTGCACTCGCTGCTGTGATGCTTCTCAGGGCTCACAAAAACCACATCACTAAGAAATCACCAAAATATTTCCATATTCTGGAAATTAGATTAACTGGGTGGTGGAGAGGAAAGAAGCGTATATGACATTCTAAAGTATACGATAGGGATCTTTAACATCATCTTTAGACTTCCTTTTGTCACCTACAGAGGTACTCTGGGTATTAGTACTTAATTTATTTTGGGTGGAGTACAGCTCCATTCACTAAAAGCTGTTCATTCCCCGAATCTTGATTGCAGTCTTAAAAAAATGGAAGAAGAGAAAACTCTAAGGCAAACTCTCCTATCATGATGGATTAACTGTAGTTTTACAGCATTTATCCAGATCACTCATATTAAACCCAAACTCTGACTTGTTTTGGATCAAGAAGTCAAAACTGACAATGAAGTCCTTAAAATTGTCTTCAGCTCGTCCAAACAAACCTGAGAGGGTCCAGGAAGCTCCTCGACAAACGTCCTGGTTTATCACGACTTCTGTAAAAACCTTTAGACGAGTTGCAGCATCAGATCGTTGAAATGCTCGAAAATAAAAAGCCTGTAGTGATTTGCACGTCTCAGGACTGATGGGACGCTCTCATCGATTTAACAAACAATAGTATTTTCTGATAAGCTGGATGTTTCATTTTACAGCAAACGGCTGGAGATGTGCTCCGTGTAATTTTCTCTAGACTTTCAGTAAATAGACACCTGGAGGGTATTAAACGCTGTACGGTTGTGATGAGTGGTTGTAACGTCAGCAGCATATTATGAATAATAGCTTCATTAGTCTGGAAAACGTGTCTCTAGATGAAGCTCCGTCCTCGTGTTTCTCTCCTTCAAATCATCAACTCATCCCATCGTCTGCGTTTTATCAGTCCGACCATTTATTCTCTCCTCTTTTCTTTTCTTCAGGGCACAGTGAACAATCAGACGGGCATTTTCCCAGAATCCTTCGTGAAGATCATAAAGCCCCTCCCAGAGAGTGAATCAGAAGGTGAAGGCGGAGCTCAAACCTACAGCTGTCTGCGCTGCTTCCTGTTCACCCCCTCTGGAGTCGTCACCAGGTCTGCTCAGGAGGAACTGTGTGTTTGTGTGTTTGTGTGTATTCAAGAAGATACTTAAGTGTGTTTAATTACCTTTCGTCAGGAAGGTTATACTTTCACCCCTGTCCGTTAGTTTACTGACACAAATTTGCAAAAGAAAGTTTTGTAATGTTGAAACTAGATATTCTAACAGATTCAGATTCTGTTTGAGTGAAGACTTGCTTGGATATGATCGACTGTCGAGGTTGATCCTGATGCTAAAATGTTTAGAATGTGACCACACATAGATAAACGTCATGAAAAAAGGCAAAATACTTAAATACTAAAAAGTTCGCCTTAAACTACATTTATACCAGGAGTTAGAAACATCACATTACGGCTTAACGAACGGCTTAATAACGTCCAAACCTCGACAGTTTCAAAAGTTCTCCTTTAAGATTGTGTGTTTGTGTTTGTGCAGAGATGTGTGTGTACAGGAGGACCTCACCATCCAGCCAACATACAAGGACTTACTGTCTCGTATGAGGTACGTCACCTCGGAGAACACACGCAGTTTTCATTTTCTTCAACAAACGACTCGATGTACGAAAGCAATAACAGATATTGTGTTTCCTGTCTCTTCCATCACTCATGTGGGAAACAATAATTGAGAGAAATAATGTGTTAATGATTCCTCTGGACTGTTGCTCAGTTGTTTTCGGGGAAACGATCGGATGCAGCCTCTCACACGTGCGAGCGAATCACCACACCTTCTAAATAATGTGCTAATGGAATCCCACACTGACATATTTGATGAAAGGTTGCAGTGAAGTCAGCGGAGGATGTGTCCATGATACTATTATGATCACAATAGGAATGAAAAGCCTCAGATTCTTGCTTCTGTCTCACATCAGTGAAAAGTTACTAATTGCCGACTGGTGACCTTTGACCTCTGCTTTGCTAAGTGTTTGAATCCTTTTTCTTCTCGCGGCCGAACACATTTTTACATCCACTGTCCCTCCCCGATATGCTCCGATTGAACTTGCGGACCTTTGTGTGTTTCTCTGCCTGAGTGTTATGATCGTGAAGTCGCAGTAAAATTCCAGACAGAACACGGATGAGTCGAAGTCACCGGTCCGCCATCGGGGCTGTTGTGCGCCGCAAAAACCTGCAAATTACCGTTTGCCAATCATCACCCCTCATCAAATTGGTTCCTGTGGGACCTCCGACTCCCCTCACCTCCCTTCCCACCGCGCCGCCATCACCGGATGCACATGGTCATTACGCCGTCATATCTGCTCTTCTCCGTCTTTTTCTCTGTGGCTCTCCCTCTCCCTCGATCTCTCATTATCTGGTAATTTAGATAGGTGAGCGCTGTGATGATTAGTCCTCCCCGTTCATAATCAGTTCATTTCCACTGCTTATCTGCTCATTATTGTTTTTCTGCGTTCGGGCCCCAGTACCTTGCACTGCAGGAGGATGGATGAGACCCTGGTCCTGAGTTTTAATATAGCTCGGTTCTGATAAAGGGAAGGGGAGGACGATGAGATCGGGGGGGGGGGGGGGGGGAGAAGACGAGAAGAGGGAGAATAAACATACCTCACTGATGGTGATTCTGTCTTTAGCTCTGACCGTATCACACTGCTGTTCTTATATTTAAATATAGTATTTGATCCTCAACACACCGTTAATCATGCAGTACTTTGTGGAGATTTTACCACGACTAAAACGTGACTTTTACGTGATAATCCAGATCTCGGTGTCCTTCCCGTGTCCTTCCATTTCTCGGGGCAGGAAGTGTTTAAATATTCCTGGGCTTGTCCTTCATCAGATTTAATACTTCGTCACGTTGTGCCTCATATGTTACAGTGTTCGAGGTGGTGCTGTCTACTTTAGCATTTACTGTGATCCGACATTAAACTGTAATAAAAGTAACTTCACATTACTTTCTTTTAATGTTGATGTGAACCATCTGCTGGATTTAAAAGATAGTGAAGCCAAAGCGTCATAAACCCCACCTCCTCCATGTTAGTGGATGGGACACAAACCAAAACTAGAAAGTCAAACAGATTTTTTCTTTCATTTTAGAAAGTGAATACCACACTGATGTTTGTTCAAGTGTTCTTTGTGATTAATTTTTTATTGATGATATAGAATCAGGGTGAAACATCAGGCTTTGATGTTATCCTTTCAAACTGAGGTTTAAACTTTCTGAACTTTCGTCTCCGTGTCTCAGAAACGTCTTCAAGGAGGACGACATCGCCGTGAACTACCGCGACCCCGAGGGCGACCTCATCCGCATCCTGGACGACGAGGACGTCCAACTGATGATCAAGGAGAGCAGGGTTCAGAAAGTCAATGCCAAGAGACCTGTCAATCAGTTTCCATGGGAACTGTATGTGACCTTCACCTCTGACCTCTCGGTTTACAACACCCAGGCCTGAGAGAGAAGGGCTGAGGTTCATTCAAGGGAGGTAGAGAAACTACTTGGCACTGAGAGTTAATGTCCTTTACATTTCACATTTCTACTAATTTAATGATCATCTTTAAGTTCTTAGCTTTAGATTTGTTCTTACGCTGCAGAAGCAGAGCAGCACCGGGCTTGTTGTAGAAGTAAAATCAAGCCTGAAGAAAAAATCTCAGAGTACAGAACATTCGGTGTATAAAACAAATAATAATACTCCAAACAGTTCAGAGGTTTGCTGACTGAGCTTGAAGCTACTTTATACTTCTTTATCTCTTGTTAATAAAAAGCTGTTTACATTCAGTGTACGTTGATTCAGTGTTTTTTGCTCCAGTGCAATGCTCGTTCTGAACCTGCATGTTTGGACTGGGCCGTTAACTTGGGCCCTCAGTGATGCTGGATGCAGCTTTTCTTTCTGAAACTGTCAGAGTGACCTGCAGTAATGAAGACCTGCAGCAGGACTCTGTCCACAGGACCTGAGGTAAAGACCTGCCGCTGCACAAAGACTCACCTGTTTATTCAAAGTTCTGTCAAGCTCGACTACACAGAACCTGAACTGGAGAATCAGCTGCGGTTTATTGGTCCCAGCCGTCACTGCTCTGACGGCTCGTCTGTTTATTCTACGTTTATAACGTTGAACGTAGTGCGTCCAAACGACAATCTGAAGCCAATAAGATGAAGAATCATTTCAAGGGCGTATGGAGAAACTGACCCTAACCTCCACCTGTTGGGGTTGGAGAAGAGAGGTGGGTGGAGAAGATGGACGAGGGGTGTAGTTAACAGCTCTGGGAATACAAACAGTAAGAGGACGTTATATATTGTTGCACAGTCTCCTCCACACTGTCTCTTTAAGGGTGGAGCACATATTACCTGGCAACTGTCCAACAGCTTCCTGCCAGATCACTCTTGCTTTCAACCACCTGATGGTATTTTGTGATAATTCGATGCTGCGTGCGAACATTTGTTCTTGGAATCGGACCTGAGACGGTTGTGGGAACATGTTCTTGGATTTTGTGTTTGTTTTTGTCCTCCACGTCTTTGTCTCACGCACGCCACACATTCACATTTTGTCCATGTGTCTGCGTTTCATTCACACTCGCCTCAGGATATTCAGATATTGCCTCTGCTGGCAGGACAGTTTTTCCCTCATCTCTAATGCAAAATTATTCCCCTCATATTCCCGTTCCACCGCCTCTCCCAGACACCGTGTAAGTTATGCATCTTTAAAAGTTGCTCATCGCACCAGAGGTGACTGGAACTTGCCCGTACTTAAGCGTAAGCACCCTCGTTCTATTGAGTATTCATGTGCTTGTTTAGTTCCTTTTCGAGGAGTAAGCATTTTAGGGGAAATACGTCCAGAATTTGACGACAAATTCACATCGTTATCTGCTTCTTCATAATGAGGAAAGTTGCCAGTTTGGGAAAAAATGCAACTTATTTTAGATAAATGTCCAAAGAACTGGGTTTTTTTAAACAGTATCCTAAAATACAGATGTGCTCCCTGGACACACGTGGGTGTAAATGATGTTTTTTTTAGGTGTTAATGGGTTTTTCGTTGATCGTCTGATCCTGTGAAGCCCGGCACACTGATGTGGAGGCTCACCGAGATATATGGGGGACATGATGATCAACCAGTTTGTCTCTGTGATAACTTTATATACATGTGACTCTGTTTCCAATTAAATCGATTGGCTTTTCCACTGTTAGAGAGCAAATGAGAATCCCAGTGATTGACAAGCGCGGTGACACTGGGCCGGCGGAGTGAAATAAACGCTGTGGTTCTTTGTGGTGCAGAAGTCAGCCGTGCCCTCGTGAGCACAAACACCTTTTGTTCGGGGTTATGAAGCCGTGTGATTGTTTTCAGTCACTGCCTCGTATTTGCGGTGATAAAAGCCCACCACCGTCTTGACCTGCTGTTCACCACTTACATTTATCTGATGCTTTCATCTTAAACCTGACAGTACGGTGGACGAGAGAGCTCAACACATGCAAACAGCAAAAACGAAAAACATCTAATTAAGCTCATGATGAATGTCAGAATAGAATGTATATATTATAATTTTATGTCAGCTAATCTGAGCAGAAGCAGTTCAGCGGTGTGTCTTATCTTTACTTTGAACGCAATCTCAATATCAGAATATTAGCTGTCATGCTAATATTGCACTTCTGGCCCCAGAATCTCCAGAATCTCCATGTCTCCATGAGGATGAACGACGAGCTGCTGGTAACTGACAGCTGTCAACCTGAGCCCGTGGGTGACAGCGCGGGACACTGAAAACTCCGAATGCAGTTTTCGGTGGATCACCGGTGAGGCAGAGATGGGATTCTATCCAGTGGAGTTGACACTGAAGGTTATGAACATGATATTCAGTGCCAGCACGCTCTCAGTGGGCCCAGCGTGTTTGCTTGCAGCTAGTTAGGATGGCTAACATCGCATGTTGCAGCTCGTAGACCACGAGGTGAAGCTGCCCCTGGTTCACTCTGGGACAGTGGGATCGGCGCTGGCGCTGAATCAAATGTCAGGGTTTTACTGAGGATTCATCCTCTGGCCACCGTGAATACAGATTTTCTTCACAGTGATCCATTGTGTGGTTGTTGAGATATTTCTATGTGGACCAGACGCAGTGGAGCCACAGACTGATATCCGTCCACAGAGCTGAGCTGCTGGCGCGGCTAAAAATACCCTCCTCCAGTTACCACAGTAACTGGCATCAGTTTTTTTTTTGTGATACCCTAAAGAATCGTAAATCTTCTTTTCAACCACCACAGGTGAGTTACCAGCGGGGAGGGGGGGGGGGGCTGAAATAGTTGAACCTTCCTGAGTGAAATAAACAGATGTGAGGTTCTCGACCTGAATTTACCAACGTTTGTTTCATCTCCTCCCTCCCTCCTCTTTACTCCTTCACATTCCCGACCTTCCTCTCACCTTCTCCTCTTGTTTTTTTCTCTCATTTGGCAACTCCTGTATTTTAAATCTAAACCTTAGTGGAATAAAACTTTCCCATTTGCGGCAGGTTCCCACTCAGAATAGCACGGGGCCCAGCTAAATCACATCATGATAAGTTGCCGCTTCTGCTGTGGCTGTTTCTCACTGCAGTTGTTTCGAGAGATTGCTTTTTCAAAATCACATTATTCTGCGACCCAAATTGCTTTTGAAGGGGTTTTTGCAGTGAGGAGGTTATCCATTTAAAGTTTCCTGATAAGGTAAACCCCACCATTAGTTTGAGTTATGTAGCTTTTGAAAATGTTTTTTTTTTTTTTAGACCTTTTCATAGAAGGTGGGCTAAACATTTGTTGGACGTGTACCAGCAGAGCTCGACTGATATTTCTGCCGGCCGATAATATCTGATGATACCAGCCTTTCACAGGCTCATGCTTTCATCTGCGTTTGCTGATGAGAGAAAACTTTTATTTTACAGAATAAATAATGTAGGAAATACTTTTATAAATCTTATATAGTTCTCTGTTGATCTGGAGACGCTCGCTACAGTCTGAGGAAAACAACCCTGATGATTTTATCTCTCTGTCCACTTTAAAGACTGTTTCACTCGGAAAAGAATGGTCACAGGTCAGTTAACAGGTGAATGCATGACTCAGAAAAACCAAACGATGGAATGTCAGGGTTCATATTTGCTTAAGAAGGAACAGGCAATGGCAAAGGTGAGGGTCAGGAGTTAGAAACAGGAGAGTGAAAGAACAGAGGAAGACGTGGGAGAAGTCAGGAAAAAGGGCAAAGACGTAAGTCTGAGGAGTCTGCAGGGGGGAAACAATCAGGCCCATGCAGAGCTGAAGGAACGGCATGATAGACAGTCTGACACAGAGTGAGTGATGGTTGTGAATATGAGGCACAAGTGCCGGTGTGAGGAATGGGAACAGGCGAGCGTAGGTGTGAGAGCGAAACTTTCCCGAATGACCTCAGTTAACGACAGAGGAAACTAAAACTGCAGCAACAGTCGCTCAAATTCAGCGGTTTGGGGGTTTTCCGAAGTTCTAAGAAGAATTACAATACATGATCTGAACTGAATCAACTGCTCCTCATAAATCTGTAGTGCTGTGAGGTGCTGCCCCTCGTTGGCCTCTGTGAGTTACTGCAGAGTCATCGGGCAGCCCAGAGTCTAATTGTTGCTGTTAATTGATTCAGTTTAAAGGTTTCATATACTGAGACCTCACATGTGAGCAGCACAGCGTTGTTGTGTTACTCTTCTTCTGCTGAGAGACAGTGATGAAGAACCACTGACACCGAGTCAAACGAAGACAAATAAGAAGATGTGTGTATGTGTTTACATGTGTTTTCACACACACACACACACACACACACACACACACACACACACACACACACACACACACAAGCAGCCTGGTGAGAGATGGGTCCGTCTGTCTGCTCCTGGTCTTTGGTGATGAGTTCAATCCATCTTCATCTTATGTTATTCCAGTCGCCAGACATTCACCCTCCTCATCCTCATTTATGATCATGTAGAGATCTGTCATACACACACACACACACACACACACACACACACGCTTGATATTTTCATTTGACAACACAAGGAGGCGCTGTTTTACTGCTCACAGGTTATGATGCATTACATTTATTTAGATGTAATAACTTCATCGGTTAAGATGTTATTTGTTAACGACGAATAGTTCTCCGTCATATTTTAAGAGGAGAATACTTGTTAAAAATAGAAAACATTTTACTTAAATACTTGAGTAAGTAACTGCTTTCAAATACACAGAGTATTTGAAGTAAAAGTACTTGCAGAGTGTATCCTCTTCTGTAAAATGATGAATGTGTCATCACCTGATCAGTGAACAGGTGAAAGAATTTACATAGAAGTCCTGGATTCATCAATTTTCCTTATTTATCTTTCATCTCATATGATCACAGCCTTTTATAGGAGGTGGAGACTGAGATGCTGAGTCATTCTTGATCGAGCCGTGAATATTACATCACTAATCATTTACTCTCTCTCTCTGTGTGTGTGTGTGTGTGTGTGTGTGTGTGTGTGTGTGTGTGTGTGTGTGTGTGGTGATTTAATAATAATCTTAAATATGAGTTTGTGAACCTGTGATGAAATCTTTCCCCATGATCTCCACCGAGCGGTGCTGTTGATCTGCTTGTTAGAGGGGGTCAGTCTGGCTGTGTGCTGCAGAGACACAGCACCAACATAGTCCTCATGATCAAGGTCATCATCATCATCATCATCATCATCATCATCATCATCATCATCACCATTAGCAGCTTCCTGTAAATTAGATTCCGGGACAAGAAATTAAATCG